TCCCACCCCAACGTCCAGGGTATCTTGCTTTGCCTTCCTTAGGTACACTTCTTGCCCCAGCCCCACGTCCTTCTGTGCTCTCCTGTCTGCCCCTTGCTGCCGCCTCTGTTCATAGCTACTGGCGTCTCTCAGCTGTGCAGTGTGGAGGTTCTCTAATGCAGCCGGCATCATCACCCGCATGTACCTTGCTCTGGCTTCCAACAGCGCCACCCAATTGTCTATGGTGCCTGCGGTCACTGTGTCTGTGAGGACCCGGGTTGCTCCCACTGGCAGCAACGGCTCACATCTATAGAGGAGGCTGTATGGGGAGTGGTCTCTCAAGGCTGCCTGTTTCCCAAACCTGTACCCTGCTGCAATCCAATGCAGCTCCTCATCCCAGTCCCGCTTCCTCTTCTCCTCGTATGCCCGAAGTCCCCGCTTCAAGGTCTGTACTAGGCGCTCTGTCAACCCATCGTTCTGTGGGTGGTAGCGGGAGGTGCGTCTGTGAGTGATCCCCGTCTCTTCCAGCAGCGTCTTGAAGTCTCCCTGGAACTCGGTTCCTTGATCTGTGAGGACTTTTGCACGTGCCCCAAATCTGCAGATTACCTGCTCCTTGAATGCCGCTGCCACCTGCCTTGAGCTCTTGCTCGGTATTGCCCTCACCTCTAGCCACTTGCTTACGTGCTCCACTATGAGCACGATGTATTGCTTACCCCCCCGACTCAGAGGCAATTCCCCGGCCAGGTCCAAGGACCACATGAAGCCTAAGCTTCGGATGGGCAGGGACTGCAGTTCGGCCTTGGCCTGGCTGAGATTTGCCCTGCTCCTCTGGCATGCCTCACAGCCCTCCACCCAGCCCTTCACTTGCCTCCGCATCCCCTCCCACCACCACTCTGTCTTCAGCAGCTGCACCGTCCTCTCATGTCCTAAATGCCCCAGTTTCGTGTGCACCTCCTTGATCACTGCTTCTCTGTCATTAGGTGTTGGCACCAGCTTCCATCCATCCTCGGTTTGTATCTGTAACTGCTGGTGATACCACCTGTAGTGGTGCCCCCTCGCCGTCACTCTCTCCGTCATCTCCTCATCCTCCCCTGTCTCCCCGTTTACCCACCGCATGGCCTGCCCATCTTCCCAAATATCTGCTGGCCCCTTCCCCCCTTTGGCCCCACCCACTTCTACCTGCCTGGCCAGCAGTGTTAAGGTTACGCTCGGTTCCAGCTGTGGGGGGTTTCGGGAGAGGCCATCCACATGCTGTAGAGTCTTTCCTGGCCGGTGTTTGATCTTGAAATCGTATTCCTGCAGCTTCATTGCCCACCATGCGTTCCTGCCTGTCAGTCCCGGCGTAGTCATCAGCCATGTCAGTGGTTGGTGATCCGTCACCAAGGTGAACTCCCGTCCCTGCATGTACACTCTGAAATGCCCCACCGCCCATACTGCCGCCAGCCCCTCCCCTATGTACGAGCTGTATTGCGCCTCTGCCGAGTTGCAGCTCCTGCTCGCATAGGCCACCACCTTCTCCTCCCCTTGCACCTCCTGGCATAGTATCCCTCCCATTCCTTGGCTGCTCCAATCGGTGTAGAGGGTGAAGGGCTGGTCTGCTACCAGCAGCCGTAACACGGTCGCCGTCTTCCCCAGATCTTGCAGGTGCTGCTGCTCAGTGGTGCTGAAGATCACCACATCATCTATGTAGCAGGCCGCGCAGTCTACATCTCGCAGCACCGCATCCATAACCCTCTGGAACACGGCTGACGCATTCCTCAATCCAAAAGGCATGTACAGCCACTCGTACAGCCCATCGGGCCCATGGAACGCAGTCTTCTTTATGTCCTCTCTAATTTTGATTTGATTGAACCCCTGCCGCAGGTCCAGCGTCGTGAAGAAGACCCCCTCTGCTAGCCTGTCGAAGATTTCTTCCGCCATCGGCATCGGGTACCTGTCGGCTATGGTAATCTTGTTGAGCGCTCTGTAGTCGCCACACATCCTCCTGCTCAGTACCTCCCCTGTCAGGTCCTTCCTCGCAGCCACCACTGTTGGCGTAGCGTATTCAGATTCGGAGCGTCTAATCAGTCCTGCTTCCAGCAGCTCCTTAATCTTCTCTTTGCATATTTCCTCATCCCCGTGCGGCATCTTCCTCCTGCGATGAAACACCGGCTCCGTGCTATTCAGTTTCAGCTCCATCTCCTTCACTTTGCACCGTCTCAACTCCTGCAGCGTGAAGGCAAAGCACTTCCTGTGCTTGTGCAGCAGCTCCTGCATTGCCCCCCTTCCCTCTTCACTCAGCGCCTCTCCCACCGTCCACTGTGGTCTCTCTTCCTCCCTGCATGCCCATGCTCCTTGCGGGACCGCTGCTGCATCCGTTCCCTTGGCCTCATGCCCCCAGCTCAAGACCGTCTCCCTCCACATTCTTTGAACCAGCCACCTCATCATATGCCCATCCATGGCGTTCCCCAGTGCCCTCCTCCTCTCCTCTTCACTCACCCCTGGGGCTGCTGTTACGTTCTCCCCGTACCCCATGGCCAACTCTCTCTCTAACGCCGTCGGTTCCTCCCACCGCCCCTGTCTGTGATCATACACCAGTCCTGGCCCCGGCTTTCCCCCATCCCACTTGTAGCCGGCTGCCCCCACATACGACACCAAGGTGGGCAGGGCTCTCCTCTCTCGCCCCACCTGGTTGCACGGGTAGTGTTTGCTGTATCCCTTCTGTCTCACTGGTGCAGGAGTCCGCCCTGTTTCCAAAATGTCCTGCACCCTTCTGTCCGCCGCTCTCTTCACCCCTTCCACCTCTTCTTGCAGTTGCAGCACCGGTACGACGTTCTGCCAATACATCCTGAGCCGATGTGCATAAGACCCCATCCTAGCTGCGTCACAGCTGACCCCCTTCCCCAACTGTTTGCTGATTCTCTCTCTCACCAACCGGATCGGCTCGCGGCAATCTCCTTCCAGGTCCAGATTCTCTAGCAGGTACGCCACCCTTCCCTGCCTCTCTTGCAGCCACTCCAAAATGCGGAACAGACTCTCCATCAGCTTCGTCCTCGGGTCTTCTCCTCCCTTCCCCTTTCCAGCCCATGACACCCCTTGACACTCCCATCCCGCTACGAGTAGATCCACTTGCCCCCAGCTGGCCACCTGCGCCTCTGTCACCTGGCTCACGTCATGGAGGGTGCTGATCATGGCGTCCTGAATCACCGCCGCGCTCAGGAGCTCTGGGAACTTGGCCTGCAGCCTCCACGCATGATGCTCCGCCATCCTCCTCACCTCTGGCGCTCGCTCTACATAGATCCACTGCTGCACCGCTATCCCATTCCGGACCACCGCTGCCAGCCCTGCCCCAATTCCGCCGAACAGCTCCACCAAGCGAATGGGCTGCTGCCAGTCGCTCTGCTTCTCTGGGGCGTCCATCAGCCTCATCCTAGGCCCCTCCTTGATCTCCTCTGCCCCCACCTGTTCCTCTCCCCCTGTCTGCTGCTTCCCCACATCCTCTTTTGCGCGGGCCTGGTATGCCCTTTTCGGCTCCACCCTAACGAATTGCACTGGCAGTTGCCCCAAGGGCCCCTCCTTCTTCCAGTACCTCGTGCGGAATTCTACCTTCTCTGTCCAGGTGCAAATGCTCATGCCCACCGCAAACACCATCTCCGTCCCTACCAACACATCAAAGTCTTCGGATTCTGAAATCCCGCATTTCATCATGATCCGGGTTTCCTGCTCCCCTCCTGGCAGCAGGGTCAGCTCTATGGGTGTCCGTGTGCATGGCATCCACTTCGGCTCCCCCCCTTTTGCTATCATCACCAACATGCCCTTTGCCACTTGCCTCTCCGGGGCCATCAGTCCTAGCCGTTCTGCCATTCCCTTGCCTAACATCACGCTCTGTGCCCCTGTATCAATGATGGCCGTCTTCACCTTCCTCCCTTCTACCTCCATTGCTCCTGCCCCCACTAGTAGCACCGACGTCTGACATGCCAGTCTCTCTTGCAGGTGGCGGGCAGGAGGTTTCTCCTGCGCCACAGGGTCGGGCTGGTGTCCTTGTTCCCGCTCCTTCCTGCCGTGCTCCTGCCTGCCATCCCGTCCCCTGCTCCGCAGCCCCATCTCTTCTCTCCCCCTCCATGCCATCAGGGCACACTGAGCATCCGGCTCCACCTCCTCCCCTTCATCATCCCTGGCGTACATTCCTGCCTCGGCCTCCCACCTAGGCCCCATGGCTTGCAGCTGAGACTGTAACCTGCTGATCTGCCTTTGCAGCTCCTCTGGATTCCTCCTCACCCCCCCTTCCTTCTGATAGCACTCCTTGGCATCATGCCCCCGCTTCCCACAGATCTCGCACCGGGCTGCATCAGGACATTCCCTCTTTCGGTGCCCCAGCTTCCCACAGCCATCACAAACCTTGCAGTCCCTACGGAGGTGCCCCACCTGCCCGCAGCGGTGGCACGTGCGGGTATCTGCCCGCATCTCCCCTCGCGGGTCCGCCCTCCCCTTCTCCTCAGGTATCATGGCTGCCGCCCATGTTGGCCTGCGGCTTCTCTCTGTCGGCTTCGGGAGGTAGGCTTCATATTTCCGCTGCGCCAGCTCTACCTTCTCGGCCAACTCAAACACCTCCTCCAGAGCCGCCTCTGCCCCTAACTCGTATACCCTCATCCTCAGCCCCCCCCCCAGTGCCTCGTCCAAGCCTCCCAGGAACTTGCTAATGAGCAGGCTGTTGTCCGCGCACTTCACGTCCTCTGCCACGTTGATCAACCTGTTGTAGTAGGTCAGCAGGGACTCCGCCCGTCCCCTCCGGAACTCTTGGAACTCCCTTATCCGCTCCGCCGTATGCCCTGGGAACTGCCGCTGTAGCCGCTCCAGAAACGCCTCGGTGGGGTCCTCCCCATACTTCCCTGCCCTCCATAGCAATTCCTCCATCCGCATGCGGTACAGCGTTTCTGCCTCTCCCTCCAGCGTGTTGGGTAAACTCAGGAAAAAGTCTACGGGCTCTACATTGTGCCTATCGCAGCGGTACCGCAGATTCCCTACTTGCATCAAGTAGTTTTTTAGGGTCGGCCCCGCGCGTTGGTCTCCTGAGAACCTAGCGGGCACCTCCACCCGAGGCGTGCTAGCAGCACCCCCCCGCCCCTCTCCCCACGATTCGCTATATCCACCCGGCCGACTGCTCCCCACCCCCTCGCCCTTGCCTTCAACATGCCCTCTCTGGCCTCCCGTGCCCGCTCCGCGCCGTACACCAGGCTCCCGCTCTCTGGCCGACTCCACTCCGCTGCACGACGCCCTTCTTTTGGCCCTCCCCACTCCTTCGCCCGAGCCCATTGCTGTGTCGGCGGGCCATACATCCTCCGCCCCTCTCCTCTACTCGTCTCGCGGTGCCTACGTCTCTCTGGCGACGGCGACCAGGCCTCCCCACGTCCACTGCGCTGTTGGCGGTGCTCAGGCGAGTGCCCGTCTTCTTCCTCCTTGCCCCTTCTCTGGCGGCGCCCCTCTGGCGAACGGGACCCGCTGTTGTCCCTCCTCCCTCCCTGCCTGGTCCGCTCCTGCCCGCGCGTCGCGCTGCCGCGCTCCACTGGCGGCCTCCAGCGCTGCTCCTGCGGCCACTGCTCCGCCCGGTCTCTCCTCCCTGGGCGCCCATATGTCTCTGGAGCGCGCGGCTCATCCTCCCACCGATTCCCGCGCGCCTGCTGCCGCTCCAGCGGCTGCCCGCCGCTGCCACTCCAATCTCCCCGCTCTCCCCATCGGTCATGCGCCCTGGAATCCCCTCCACGCCCGTCTCCGCGCTGCTGCTCTCTTTCTGGCACGTGGATCCGCTCCGCCCTTCCCGCGCCCCGCTGCCTTTGTCTCCGCGTCTCGCGCTCCCTCTCATCTTGGGCCATCCGCTCCTGCTGAAGCGCGTCCTCGGCGCGCTGCTCTTCCCCACTGCTGGCCTCGCGGCCGTGAGATCCCTCCGCCTGGCTCGCGCCAGCGTTCTCGTCCGCCTGTGCGTGTTCGGCGTGTTCCGCGTCATCGGCGTGCTCGTCGAATTCCGCGGCCCGGTCCTCGTCGTCATCTCCCTCCTCGGCGCTTTCGTCCTGCAGCCCCTGGCCCTCCTCGTCCGCTTCTGCGTCCAGCGCTCCCTCCACCACTGGCGCCGCGCCGTCCGGTGCGCCCTCCGCGCGGTCGTCGCCGCGCGCATCTCCTTCTCGTTCCCGGGGAAATTCCCCGAAGCCCTGCCAACGGCCGCGGTCGTCACGGCGCCGTCCTCGCCCCTCTGGGGAGCGGAACCTCCCTTCCTCGCAGCGAGATCCGCCTCTCCCGTCGATTCCGCGGGATTGCTCTCGCAGCCACGCGTCTCTCTCTCCGCCTCTACCACGGCCCGCATTGCCTGCTCCCTCGCCCGTCGCTGCTTCCTCTAGACGGTCACGGGCTAAGGGAGCTCGATCTGCGCGGAAGGCCGGCCTACGTGGCGATCGCTCTACCGATCGCCCTCGCTCGCATGACGGCTCGCTTTGCGGCCGTTCTTCCTCGCGACGGCTAAACATCCTACCCCAACGCAGTTCGTATTTATCCATACTTGCGCCGGTTCAGTCCTTAGGCTTGTTATGAAAGAGCTCGCTCCCTCACCCCGTAGGTTCCTCTCTTAGTGACTGCCACGGTGTGCTAGAGCTTAGATGACAAATTCCACTACTTCGAGAGAATAACAAGCCTAAGGCAAGGAAGGGGTGGGTGTGAGGGACCTTACCCAGCCCCAAGCTGCACATTTCCTAAATGTGCGGCTCGGGATTGGTGTTCCCTGATTTCACAATTCGCCCTTCCGTCCCTTTTCCCCCGTGATTCCAACCGCTTCAATTCGGTTCCCCCCTTCTACACTCCTCTACAACAGTCATATCGCTACATTCTACACCCCTATGCTAGTATCATTGTATAAGCTTTCCTACACATATACTCCTTATCTCAGCATCATAACTACACCTGCATTCTACTGTTATAACATATGCACTGACTGCATATGATGTGACAATGCCCACCGCAAACACCAGCTTTGTGCCCACTAGCACGTCAAAATCCTCGGACTCAGAGATGCCGCACTTCATTCTGATCTTGGTTTCATGCTCCCCTCCTGGCAGTAGTGCCACCTCTATGGGTGCCCGAGAGCAGGGCATCCACTTCGGCTCCCCCCTTCTGCTGTGATCACCAACATCCCCCTTTTCACATGCCTTTCTGGAGCTAAGAGCCCCAGCCTCTCAGCCATCCCTTTGCCTAGCATCACGCTCTGTGCCCCCGTGTCTATGATGGCAATCTTTACCATCTCTCCTTCCACTTCCATAGCCCCCTCTTCCAGCAGCAACACTGAGGCCTGACACGCCAGCCTCTCCTGTGGATGGCGTGCCGGCGACGGAACCAACCCTGGACCCTCTGGTTTCTGCCCCTTCTCCCGGACCTTCCTGCTCTGCTCCTACCTGCCGTCCTTCCCTCCGCTCCTCAGCCCCACCTCCTCTCTTCCCCTCCATGCCATGAGTGCGCACTGCACGTCCTGCTCCACCTCCTCTCCCTCCTCGTCTCTCGCATACATCCCCTCCTCTGCCCCCCATCTTGGTCCCGTTGCCTGGAGCTGTGCCTGCAGCCTACTGATTTGTCGCTGTAACTCTTCCGGGCTCCTCCTGGCTCTTCCTTCCCTCTAATAGCAATCCTTGGCCTCGTGCCCCTTCTTCTTGCACACCTCACACCTGGCGGCATCAGGACACTCTCGCTTGCGGTGGCCCGGCTTCCCGCACCCATCACAGTTCTTGCAATCTCTGCGGAGGTGCCCTGGCTGTCCACAACGGTGGCAGCTCCTGGTTTCTGCCCGTGCCTCTCCTCGCTCCTCTACCTTCCCTCGTTCCTCTGGTATCATGGCTGCCGCCCAGGTCGGCGTGCGGGCTCTCTCCAGCTGTCTGGGCAGATATGCCTCATACTTCCTCTGTACGAGCTCCACTCTTTCGGCTAGCGCGAACACCTCCTCCAGTCTTGCCTCCGCGCCCAGCTCAAAGACCTTCATCTGCAGCCCTCCTCCCAGTGCCTCGTCCAGGCACCCCAGGAACTTACTGATCAGGAGGCTACTATCCGTGCACCTCACATCCTCAGCTACGTTGATCAGCCGATTGTAGTACGCCAATAGTGTCTCTGCCCTTCCTCGCTTGAATTCCTGAAATTCCCTTATCCTTTCCGCCGTGTGCCCTGGGAACTGCCGCTGCAACCGCTCCAAGAACGTTTTGGTGGGGTCTTCCCCGTACCTCCCTGCCCTCCACAGCAGCTCCTCCATCCTCAAACGGTATAGAGTCTCAGCTTCCCCATCCAAGGTATTTGGCAGGCTCAAGAAGAAGTCTATGGGGTCCATGCCATTCCGGTCACACCGATACTTCACATTCCCCACTTGCAACAGGTAGTTCTTGAGTGACGGCCCCGCCTGCTGATGGCCTGAGAACCTGGGCGGCACCTCTATCCTTGTCGCCGTGGCCGCGCCCGCTCTTCATTCTCCCCATGACTCACTCACCCCTCCCCGCGGTCTCCCATACCCTCCCTTCTGCCTAGCTCATTCCAGGCCCTCTCTGGCCATTCGTGCACGCTCAGCCCCTTATGCCAAGCTACCAGTCCTGGCCCTGTTCTCTAGCTGCCCTCTGAGCGTCTCTCCCGAGTGTCCCCACTGATCCTCCTCCCTTCCCGCCCGTTCCCATCACCGTGCCGGCGAGTACTGACTCTTCTCCCATTCCCTCTGGCCGGCTTCACGCGCCTGACGTCCCGCTGGGGGTGGCGACCACTCATCCCTTCCCTTGCCCTGCTGCCGTATGCCATGCGCCAAGCGGCCTGCTTCCTCCCGCCTTCCCTCTCGCCAACGGCGCCGGTCGGGCAACCCGACTCTCCTCTGGGCCCTTCCCCCCACTGCTGCCGCCTGTGCGGTGAGCGTGATCCTCCCTTCCGACGCCCCTCCCAGTGCCGCTGCGTCTCTGGCGAGCGATGCTCCCCGCCACGGCTTCCTCCATGTGCCTGCGGTCGAGCCGCCGAGCGGACCATATTCTCCCCCACTCCTCTCCGCCTTCCTTCCACGTCCCCGTACCGCTCGGCCCTCGGCGGCGCTTCTCTGGACGAGCGCGAGCTTCCGTCCCTCGGCTCCAACCGCCGTCGCTGGACTCCTGTTGTGCGCCTGTCCTCCGCCTCGCTCCGTCCGCGCATTCCTTGCGGCTGCACCGCGAGTGCCTCTCCCTCACGAGTCCGTCCTTCTTGCTGCCGCGCATCGCGGGTGTACTGCCCTTCCAGATGGTTGGGGTCCGTGGCACGTGACCCCTCCTTTCGCGCCTCTCCCTCTTCCTCCTCCGCTGTCGCCGCGGTGTCGGCGTGTTCCGCGCTGGGCGCGTGGTCTCCCTCCTCGGCTCAGCTCGGGACGTGGAGTTTCGCGTGCGTCTGCTCGTCGCAATCCTGCTGCGGGTTGCCGTGCTCCTGCTCCTCGCCATGCTCCGGTTCGTCACCGTACTCCTGCTTGTCACCGTGCTCCCGCTCGTCGGCCGTACCCTTGCCCGTCGTCGTACGCCGGCCCGTCGCCGTACTCCTGCTCAGCCTCCTCGTCACTCTCCTCCCGCGTTAGCTCGGCCTGCGGATCCTGTTTGGCCCGGCGGATGCCCGAGCCTTCTCCTCGCTCCCGCGGGAGTTCCTCCCTCCCACGCCAGCGACCTCGCTCATCACGTCGCCGGCCTCCCCCTTCTTGGGAGCGGAACGCCCCTTCGTCGCGCGGGTGGCGGTGCTCATCGCCGCGTAGGTGGGACGTGTTTCTTCGCCATGGCGCACCGCCCGTCGATGTATCGAGTCTGCCGCCACCAGATACGCCTTGCGCCGCCTCTCTCTCTCGGCTGGCCGGCACGACGGGCACTCTATCTGCACGGAAGGCCGGCCTTCGGGGCGATCTTTTTAGGGAACGCCCGCGCTCCTGCGAGCGCTCATGCTGCGTCCCTTCCTCCTCTCGACAAGTGAAGGCCCAACCTCATCGCAACTCATACTCATCCATACTACGTGCCTACGCTTGTTTCTTAGTATGAACGGGATCGCTCCCTCACCCCACTGGTTCCCTCCTCGTGGCGTACCACTGTGTGCTAAGAGCTGAAAAAGTGCTAACTTCCACTGATATGAGTGAATACTAAGAAACAATCATCGAGTGGGTGAATGTGAATGACCTTACCCATCCTCACCGCAGGCTGCACATTTCCCAATGCGCGGCTCGGGGTGAGGATTTGGTTTCCCATTTTGCCCCTTGGTGCTTTCCCTCGTAATTCCAATCGTCCCCTTTTTGTTCCCCCCTCTTTTGCCTATTGCAACCGTTACTGTACTACATTCCGCGCCCCGTGCTAGTGTAGCTATATATGCATTAAGTGCATATATCCTAATATACTATTCTGCCTCCTACACCTTTATTTTACTGTTATTGTATATGCATAAATTGCATATGCGCTGACATTGGTCCAATTGGTCAATATGAGAGTACGACGGCTTATGCTGGCTTTGCTAGCTTGCCTATACTTATGCTATATCTAGCTTGGGTTTTATTTATCATGCATAGATATGCTTGATTTCCTAGGTTCGGTGCATTCCTATATTTTATTATAGTTATAGCACCGAACCAGGTTACGTGTACCGAACCCAAGCCTCTTCGGTTGCCACCGAATTGCTTTCTACTGAGTTCGGAAAGGTTCTGTTCGGGACGCTTCGCGACCCTCAGAACAATCGCGTAACATCTGGGTTATCTGTCTTGTGTCGAGCCTATATATAGCCTCGTGTTGTACCCAGGTGAATCATTTAATTCAAACTCTCTTTTCTGAGCTCGATCCTAGATCCTCACAGTCAATCAGGCCAACAAGCCGATTGGTCTGACCGGTCCATCGGGGCAACAGTCCGGCTGGTCCAACCAGTCCATCGGGCCAACAGCCCGGTTGGTCCAACCGGTCCATCTGACCAACAGCCCCGCAGGTGCAACCGGTCCATCGGGCCAACAGGCCGGTTGGTCGAACAGGTCCTTAGAGCCAACAGGAAAGCTGGTCGAACTGGTCCATGGGACCAACAGGCCAGCTGGTCCAACCAATAGATCCAACCGGTCCATTGGATCAATAGGCCAGTTGGTTCAATCGGTCCATTGGGCCAACAGGCCGGTTGGTCCAACCAGTCCGTCGGGCCAATAGCCCGGTTTGTGAGAGTACGACGGCTTGTGCCAGCTATGCTTGCTAGCCTTTACTTTATTATGCTATTTCTAGCATAGGATGTTTATATGCATGCATGAATTGCTTGATTTCCTAGGCTAGGTGCTTTTCTATATTTTATTATAGTTATAGCACCGAACTAGGTTGCGTGCACCGAATTCTGGCTTTTCGGTTGTCACCGAATTGCTTTCTACCAAATTCGGGTAGGCTCTGTTCGGGACGCTTTGCGACCCTCAGAACCTTCGCGTAACACCTAGTTACTGGGCCTTGTATCGAGCCTATATATAGCCTCGTGTTGTACCCAGGTGATTCATTCAATTCAAACTTTCTTTTCTGAGCTCGATCCTAGATCCTCACACTTGGTAACAGAGCCCGTTTACACGCGAAAGTTTTTCGACCGCTAAAACCGAGTATTCAAAAACCGCGGGGGCGACGCAATAAAACATCGATTTCGGGTACGTAAAACCGGTTCTGTGTTTTTCGCTCCCCCTCGTTTCAGTTTTTCGGACGCGCAATATCAGGCATGGAGGGCCAAGGCGACAACTATGCGACCACGAGCGACATCGCGAGCCCCCGCACCGACATGGAGCAGACGCAGGCGGCGCTACGACGACTCGAGGCCCTTCTGACACACCAACCAGGAATCGCCACCGCAGCAGCAGCGAATGCAGCAGCGAACGTAGCAGCGACAACACCCGCAGCAGTGGCGACACCGACATTTCACGGACCGATGGCACCACTGTCGCCGAACCTCAAAGCAGCACGACCGAGGCTCCCTGAAGCGTTCGATCCCAGCGCGAGGATCCGACGTACGGCGATTCGTGGCAACCCTCGAAATCTACTTCGAGCCCATTGGCTTTTCGACCCCGGCACACGACGCAGCAAGAATTCGGCTCGCAGCGACACTGTTACGTGGACCGGCAGTCGAATGGATTTACTACACTGACGTGGCCCGCGGGGAGAAAACGTGGTAGCAGTTTCGGGCAGACTTAATCGAGCGTTTTGAACCCATTAATACGACCTACATGGCGCGGCAGCAGATTCATCGGCATAAGCAATACAGTAGTGTAGCACAGTACACGCAGCAGATGGAGCTCCTATTTAATCGCATCACCGACCTGACCGAAGGCGAAAAAATCCAGGCGTATACAGAAGGGTTAAAATTGGAGATTCGTCGACAGGTCATCGCAGCGAATTACAACAGTTACCGCGACATCGTGCGTGCTGCCGAGCGATACGACGCATTGACTCGAGGTCAATCCGAAACACGACGCCTCACGTCGAACCGTACATTCGGCACGGAGCGATCGGCACCCCCCACGTTCGCCGAACCGATGGACATCGACAAATACGACGCGAAGCAGCAGCCGGCAAAATGCGAATTTTGCGGCGCAGCAGGGCATCAATTTTTGTCGTGCTACAAAATGAAAAAAGCACGTGCGGCACTCCGGGACGGTAACAGTGGAGCACCCCCGAAGTAAAAAAACGGGAATCGCCAGTAGCCGCGGATCGACTTGGCGATCGCGTAAAGATCCGAAAAGCAGGAAAAGGCGACGACGTGGCGACTTCGGAGCGGGTGAAAAAAGGAGAAAATGATGGCGCAAATATAAAACGTCACGACCGGCCGGCATCAGGGGAAATCGCCGAGGCGAATGGAGGCTCCGCGAAAAAGGACTCTGCACCGACCGGGAAACTCCAGCCGAACACCCACGAAAGTAAGAATTCGTTAAATGTATCCTATAAAGATACTCTAACGAAAAGTATTGCTTCTCGTGGTTTTCAAGCCTTTGAAAAATTCAGTGGAGATTTAGAGGCCAAGAAAAAGCCTTTAGAAAATATTCAGGTACGTGAGAAGTTGGGCAAAGTACTACGGAGCGTAGAAAAGGGTCGTGTGTTCCGTGGAGTTGATATTCTCACCCCGCAGCCCAGTGTTAAGGCTCCTCGTTGCCCACAGGTGAAGCCTACACAGCTGCAAAGGCTTAGAGGAAAATTCCAGGCTCCTGAGAAGTTGTACAAGCCTCGGAAAAACCTCATACCCCCCAGGTGAAGTTGGAAGAGAAAAGTGCTGCATCAGATATAGGAAATAGGGATGGTATTCACTTTGATGTACCCTATGATCCTATTAATGAGACCCTCTTTGGCTACTCAGCGTAGCAGGCACCACTACTCCCCGAGGTGTTATGCAAAGGACGACGCCTCCAAGCACTGGTGGACAGCGGTGCATCTCACTCGGTGTGTGACCGCGGGGCGTTGGAGAAAATTGGAGAGCCTTCCGACAAGATCAAGTTCTTGGCAACGATGGTGGACGGTACGAAACTTCCCATCCACGGCGAAGCATTACTGCAGCTGCACATAGGGGCACTAAGGTGGAAGCCGGCGTTGCCGATCACGAACATCAAAGGGTTAGATTTCATCTTGGGGTGAGATTTCTTGAAGCGGTTCAACCCCGAGATCGATAGGGTCAACAGGAAGGTGTGCATCTATAACAACGGGAAGCGGATAGCACTACGAAGCTGGACGGATACAAGGAACATTCCTGAAACGACACTGGCACGGTTTGAACAGGCACTGAACGAGAGTAACACGGGATACCTAGCACTGGTTATGGCAGCAGCAGAGGAGGAGAAGCCGAACGCACAACTACCTGCAGCAGTGAAGGAGGTGTTGGAGCAGTACAAGGATATAATGCCCGACGACCTATCTGCAAGCGTACACCCTGCACGCACCCACGAGCACGAGATCGTGGAGGAACCAGGTGCGAAACCCGTCTCACGTGCACCATACCGACTGAGTCCGACCGAGCTGACGGACATGAAAAAACAGATAGAATATCTACTGGACAGACAACTGATCCGCCCATCCACCTCTCCCTACGGTGCACCAGTTCTCTTCACTCCAAAACCAGACGGCAGTTTACGGATGTGCATCGACTACCGCGCACTGAACAAACAGACATTTAAAAACAAATACCCTACACCGCGCATAGACGACCTACTGGACCAACTGCGTGGTGCAACAGTCTTTTCGAAACTGGACCTACGGTCGGGTTACTGGCAGATCAAGATGGTAGACAACTCGGTCCACAAGACGGCATTCCATACCAGATACGACTCCTACGAATACTTGGTGATGCCGTTCGGACATTGCAACGCACCAGCAACATTTCAGGCGGGGATGAATCACATCTTACGACCCCTGCTGGACGAGTGCGTAGTGGTATACCTGGATGACATCCTTATCTACTCAAAGAACATGAAGGAGCACGTGGAGCATCTACAGAAGGTGTTCGAAATCCTGCGGAAAAAACAATTTCTACGTGAAGCCGTCGAAGAGCGACTTCGCCCTGAAGAAGGTGCAATTTCTCGGGCATATGGTGAGTGCCGAGGGCGTACACGTGGACCCTCGGAAGATCGAAGCCGTCAAGAAATGGAAAGTACCGGAGAACGTGAAGGAGTTGCAGCAGTTCCTATGCTTCGCCAACTACTACAACAGGTTCGTGCCGCAGTACGCTAAGATAGCAGCGCCACTGACCGACCTACATAAAAAGGATACGCCGTACAAATGGGATTCACCTCATCAGCAAGCCATGGAGCAGCTACAGACAGCACTGACTACAGCGCCAGTACTCATCCTACCGGACCCAGACAAGAACTACGTGGTGGAAGGAGACGCTAGTGACCAGGCAGTCGGAGCAGTACTGATGCAGGATCACGGAAACGGTTTACACCCTATCGCCTACCTCAGTAAGAAACTACACGGGGCAGAACTGAATTACCCCATCCACGACAAGGAAGCCTTGGCTATCGTGGTAGCCTTCAAAGCGTGGAGGTGTTTCCTAGAGGGAGCCAAGACTACAGTCTATACTGACCACTGCAGTCTCAAATACCTGAAGTCGCAGCCGACGCTCTCACGACGACAGGTGCGGTGGATGGACTTCCTGGAAACTCACTTCCACTACGACATCGTCTACAAGCCCGGGTTACATAACAAGGCAGGCGCATTGAGCCGCCCCGGACATGTAGCAGGCATCCAGCTCGACGGGATGAACCCTCTGCTCAAGGGTTTATTCCAACATGGGTACTTCGTAGACGCAGAGATCACTACATCACAGACCAAGAAGCTGTTACAGTGGGAGAAAGACTTAGCTGTAAGGAAGGGTTCAGGAAAGATTTGGGTACCGAATTACGCCCCGCTACGGCAGATCCTATTGGAGGAGTTTCAGGACGTACCATACGCGGGACATTTCGGACCAACAAGCCAGCTAGTCCAACCGATCGATCGGACCAACAACCCAGCTGGTCCCATCGGTCCATCGAACCAACAGGTTAGCTAGACCAACCGGTCCATTGGACCAACAAGCCAGCTGGTCCAACCGATCCATCGGGCCAACATGCCAGCTGGTCCAACCGATCCATCGGGCCAACAGGCCGGGTGGTCCAACCGGTCCATCGGGCCAACAGGCCAGTTGGTCCAACCGGTCCATCGGACCAACAGCCTAGTTGGTCCAACCAGTCCATCGGGCCACAAGCAAGGTGGTCTAACCGGTCCATCGGGCCAACAGGCCAACTGGTCCAACCGGTCTATCGGACCAAAAGGCGAGCTGGTCCAATCCTTCCATTGGACCAACTGGTTAGCTGGACCAACCGGTCCATCGGACCAACAAGCCAGCTGGTCCAACCGGTCGATCGGACCAACAACCCAGCTGGTCCCATCGGTCCATCGAACCAACAGGTTAGCTAGACCAACCGGTCCATTGGACCAACAAGCCAGCTGGTCCAACCAATCCATCGGGCCAACATGCCAGCTGGTCCAACCGATCCATCGGGCCAACAGGTCGGGTGGTCCAACTGGTCCATCGGGCCAACAGGCCAGTTGTTCCAACCGGTCCATCGGGCCAATAGAT